TGGAAGCTTTGAAGAGACAGGGGAGAGGAAGGACTAGATCCAGTAGGATAACAGTCTCCTATTTGTAATGGAAGTATTTAACGACTTTTGATCATTGATGGAGCCATATGTTGAAAGGACAATGTATTTAAGGCCCCAAGGAAAGATTTCTACACATGATGTGTAGCTTGTATTGATACATACATGTGTATAGATGGAGTCACTGGTTAGTAGAGAAAAGTTGCATTTACTTTTTGAGAGAAAATATTTGCTTCTAGGTTTTGAAATATAGAATAACTTACCTTTCACCAAAACAAAGTGTTTTCTTCATTGAACCTTCTAGAAGCCTGTGGAGGCTGTGAGTCGTGGTGGATAAGAACTCAGGCTGTGGAAGCCTGCCCCCTACAAAGTGTGTGCTGAGAGACATGACCAATAGTATTTAGAAGATTACATGACTAAGACACATTCAGTAAACCTTAGCCATCTTTATTTTTATTATTTTTAAATCTACATCCTGAAAAATATTGCACAAAGTAGATATTATCATTTTAAAACAGTGAATAGTTGATGAAGACAAAATATACCAGAATAGGTTTCAATTTAGGGAAACAAAGAACAAAATCTGTCTTGGAACCACTTTATCCTCAGAAAGACTGAAACTTTGATGGTGAGGTTTGTTTTATTCAATTAAAAATGTAGATATGTGTGTGGGAGTGAGAGTGTTTAAATGTTATCATAGGCTTTCATTCTTAGGTCTTCTCTCTCTCTCTCTCTCTCTCTCTCTCTCTCTCTTTCTCTCTCTCTGGCGGTTAACCTGTTTTCAGTAACTACCCTTCATGTTTATTCTGTTTTACCTTCTAAGTGATTTTTTTCCCTTATTATCTAAGTGTATCAGGTCAGAGGGAAAACTCAATGTGTAAGTTGACTGACAGTATTTTTCATTTTCTTTGAGACTATTTCCCATAGCATCCTAAATAGAATCATTAAGCTTCTCTTTCAAAGCAGGTACCCAAGCATGTGAGTCATCACTGTACTGATTCCTGAATGTTATCACACTGGACACTTTCCAAAACTGAACAAAGCCAGGCTTGTTGACCACTGAGGAACTGTGTTCTAACAAGAGACCTGTGCTCTCTTACAGGTGTACATTCTCTTTGCTGAGATGGCCTCTTTGTAGAAGGGGGTTGTTGGAGGCATAGAAAACTGGAATTCCACATTTCTCCTTGATAGTTTGCCAGCTTGGTTTTCAGCCAACCAGATAACTGCTTGTAGTGACACTCATTTCTCTAGGACTCCAGGTCCTGTGCCAGCCCTTGGAGGGCAGTCTCACTGAGACTGCTCACACCATCCTGCGCCAAAGGCACTGCTGTCCTGAATGCCTCAATGTGCGGATAAGAATCTAATACCAACTCAAGGGACTTAACAGCTAAAGTTCCAATAAAACTCTGAGTGTAAAGAATGTTCGTTTTACTATTTAAGTTGTTTTACTATTCTAAACAGAAAACAAGAAGGCAAGTGTATGGTTCTGTTACTCTGCTTCCTCAACGTTTACGGTCTATAAGTTAGTTGCTAAACCCAGCCTTAGGGACTAAACGTATACCGATGATCTTCTAGTCTCACCAAAGCTGCTTTGACCCTTTCTAAAAATAGGAGATTTTTCATTGTCTCCAATGCCGACCTCCTGAACTTCATCTGCCTGATAATTCTTTATATGGAATATATAGCTTTCTCAAATGTATCACATCAATAATTTATTTTGTCATTTCAGATCCTTTCTAGAATTACCTATTTCTCTGATTAATACCATCCTTCTTCTAAGCTACCAAACTCAAATCTTTATTACTAAATTGAGTCTTTTTTCTCCCTACCTCTAGAATGTTACTAAAATCCACTCATTTCTCAATCAGTAATATTTCCCTGCTTGATCATTTTATTTCATTTCCTCTGCCACCCTTTTGTTCTGACTCCTATCACTTTACGCCTGAACTACTACAAGAAACCAATATCTTGCATGAAAGAAGTCATAACACTTCAATCTTCTACTACTTCACACTCATTAGGATGGCTAGAATAAAAAAGACAGACAATAATAAGTGTTGATGAGGATGTGGAAAAATTAAAGCACTCCTACATTACTGATGGGACTGTAAAATAGTATAGCTATTTTGCCAAACAGTTTGGCAGTTCCTCAAAAGGTTAAACATAGAATTACCATATGACGCAGCAATTCTACTCCTAGGAATTCCACTCCCAAGAGAATTGAAAACATATGCTCACATAAAAACTTGTAAGTAATGAATACCCGTGTTCAAAGCAGCATTAGTCACAAGAGCCTAAAGGTGGAAGCAACTGAAGTGTTGCTCATCAGCAAATGAATGGATAAACAAAATATAGTATATACTCTGTTTTTTTGGTTTTTTTTAAAGATTTTATTGGGGAATTGGGGGGATGGGAACAGCGCTGAGGAATCGGGGGAAGGGGAATAGACAAGTTGCTGTTGTTTTTGTTCTTCAATCTAGTTGTGAAGGATGTTGCTTCACTGGCCCAAGCTGGCACCATCATTGTGCTCTTCCCGGGCGAGGCGGATCAGTCGTGGAGCAGCTGCTGGCTGCTCACGCTGGCTGCCAGCTACACATGGTAGCTTATGGCAGCCCACTGTAGCAGGGAACTGCAGCCTATGCCGTCGCTGGTGACCCACGGCAGCCCAGCCCCAGGTCGAGCTGCCATTCACCATCTTAGCTGAGAGGGCAGTGTCACTGGCCCTCATATGTGGGATCCGAACCGGGGCCCTCTGGCGTCCCAAGCCAGTTCTTAACCAACACGCCACTTGGCAAGCCCAGTATATACTCTTAATGGAATATGATTCAGCCTTAAAAAGGAAGGAAATTGTGATACATGCTACAACATGTATGAATGTTGAAAACGTTATGCTTAATAAAATAGCCAATCACAAAAGGACAAATATTGGATGATTCTGCCCATATAAGGCACATAGAATAGTCAAATTCATAGAGACAAAAAGTAAAATTGTCTTCACCAGGAGCTTGGGGGACGGGAAAATGGCAAGTTACTGTTTAATGGGTACAGAGTTTCAGTTTGAGAAAATTTCTGGAGATAGATGGTGGTGATGTGAATGTACTTAATGCCATAGAACCGTACACTTAAAATAGTGTTAGGATGGTAAATTTTATGTCATTTATATTTTACCACAATAAAAAATATTTATAAATGATTGTCAATGGCTGCATCATTTGTAATAGCCAAAAAAATAGAAGTAACTCAAATACCCTTCATCAAGTGTGATGCAGCTATATAGTGGAATGTCACTCAGCCATAAAAATGAATGAAGTACTAATACACACTAGAATGTAAATGAACCTTGAAAATATTATGCTAAGTAAAAAAAAAAAAACAGACACAAAAAGCCAAATTTTACATGATTGCATTTGTTTGAAATACCCAGACTAGGCAAGACCATAGCGACAGGAAGTCCATTAGCTGGAGGAGGTGATGAATGAGAACTGACTTCTGATGGGGACTGGGTTTATTTGGGGGGCAATGAAGTTGTTTTGGAACTAGACAGTGGTAATAACGGCACACCTTTTTGAATACACTAAAAACCACTGAATGGTATGTTTCAAAAGGATGAATTTCATGGTATGTGAATCAGATCTCTATTTTTTAAGACCCTAAATCTTTACCGATGACTTATATGGTGCTATGTTTCTACAGAAACAGCGTGCTCCAGTCTCCGCTTACTATTTTCTAGCCATATAACTTTGAGAAACTTAAGTGACCTCTCTTCTTACTCTGTAAAATAGGGGTAAAAATAACTACCTCACCAGCTGTTTGTGTTAACTGAGCTAACATCTGTAGTGCATTCAGCACAGTGTCTGGCATTTACTGAGAACCCAATAAGTTTACTGAGACCCCTTGGGACACCAGCCTTCAACAGCTTCCAGTACTATTCCAGATACTATTTCCAGGTATTCAGGAAAATGGCCCACCTCCTTTAGCCATTTTACCAATAGTCGTTATGTTCTGCCTGTCCAAATTCTTCTAGTGCTCCTTTATAGAGATCCTTCACTCAGAATGGGCTTTTTCGTTTCCCTCAGCTTGCTATATATATATATTCTTGCGGCTCTGCCTGCCTGAAAACAATGCTCTCTTCTGTTACTCTTTCTCTGAATTTCACCCTGCCCTTAGAGCTCAGTGGACTTGCCTCATGCATTAAACTTTCTCCTTTATTTCATGGATGTTTATCTCTGCTTTTGGTAGCACCCAAGATTTTCACTACATCTTTGACCAAATGAAGACTTTCTTTGGTGATATTTTTAAAGTATGTGTCTTATCAGGTGATCTTTTTCAAATACATGTCCAATCTGTCTAGCTAAATTAAAGCCCCTGAGAACAGGGGCCACATGTTACAATTCTTTTCCTTTTGCAAAGCACTTAGCACACTCACTTGATGTGGTACATGTAGTATCCGGAATAAGCATTTGCTATTTATGAATTAAGTTAGTGCTACCTCTCAAGTACAAGGGCTTAAATGAATGATTCTCAATCCTGGCTGCACCTTAGAATCACCTGAGGACTAAAGCTTCATGTCAGCCCAACAAATCAGATTTTCTGAGCCAGGGGCCTCAGCTTCACAAACAGGTGATACTGTTACAACCAAGGCTGAGAGCCATTGGCATCAGCAGACGAAGGAAGATAAGCCAGTGGATCCCAAACCGGAATGATTCTCACAATCCAGACTTGGGGAGCACTGATGCAGGCAGAGATGCGCTGGGCATTGCAGAGGGCTCTGCAAATACTAGACCATGCATCTGTGAGTTTCACTGCTTTGCCAAAGATCCTTGAACCCTAATTTTACTTTTAACAGCCAACAGTGTCATGGAAATAGCCAATTATGAGCATCTTAAACCTTTTAAACTCTACATAGTAGCGTTCATGCCACATGTGCATACCTTGTTCTTTTTTGCTTACTTAAACGCATTCAAACTCTGTGTCTTTCCCAGGCTGGCCAACATTCAGCAGCGGACCCTCTCACGACTGTTCACTCGCCCATGCTCCTTGAGTTATGCTTGGAAGCAGGAGATGAGCTCAGCAGCAGCCAGCAGGCCATGATCCAGGAGGAGCAGTGAGGGGCAGAGCTGCTGGTAAGACTGTGCGGACAGCTGGGGCTGGGATGCGAGAAGTCAAAGTTTATTACCAATTTAATGGCCAATGTCTCTTCCAACCTTCAACTCTAATTTATTCTCTACTCTCTCAAGTATCTTTATTATCTATGCTTTGGACACATGGCTTAGATTTTAAGATCTACGAATCCCTTAAAATTGTGTGCTGATGTTTATGTATATAATTTTTGGGGGGGGTTAGGGGGGAAAGATTTTCATCAGATTCTTAATGCCTGTGAATTTAAAAGAGAGAGATATGAGTAAGAACCATTCAGAAAATATAGCATAAGCATGGAGGAATGTGATAGCTATAATCATTTGTCATAGTATTTATCCTGTCCATTTTACCACACTTACAGCCACTTTGTCTCAATCTTGTTGAGGACCGAAAAAGTGATTTTTGTGGTTATTTGCTGAACTGAAAAGTGAGCACCTATTGAACCTAGGCAGCCAGGTTTCATGACTCCACAGAACTAATGGAGAACTAAAGTGTAGAATAACAGAACTCAGAAGAACCTATGTGATTTTTCACATGATTTTCCTGAAAAGACAAATAGAGGTACTCACAGAGAGGAAGGCACCAAATACTTTTTACATCATGTTCTTACATTTGATGTTAAAAAATCAGTTTGTTCTGAATGCCACTGACCTCCTAACAAATGTTCCAACCTAAGGATATTTACCAGATCATTATCACTGATGTGAATTATAGAAGTAGGGAACTGATGCATTTCTTTTTTCCCCAAAATATTTAAGACAAAGATTACAATGAATTCTATATATAGCTTTGTCTGTATTATATGCCAGTGAAAATTATGGGGGCCTTGTAAGAAAGAAAGTGGAGGTTAGGTAGAGAAAAGGAAGAATGAGTCTATTTCTTTCCTTGTATAATTCCTTTAGCAGGTAATGCAGCTTTGGTTTCCCTGAATTTTGTTTATGCATTCAGCATTACAAATCTTCTAAAAAGCCTGTGTGGCTGTAATCTCTGCCCTCACTCCAGATGCCTGAGGATATAAGTATGTACTCTGCCACTTGATACTTCTTAGAGGCTGACCTGGAGCTCAGAAACCCTTTCCAGTGTGTCCTCAGTTAAACTCCCATGATTCCTGGATGTTGCCAATTTCGAGACATGGGCAAGTGTGTCTGCCTAGATTACCTCTCTGCCCTGAGAATTTTAAGTCACTCTGTAAGGGAAAGAGAGCTCAGCACTGTAGTAACTCTCAGAATGAAAATTTTCCCCTTGCATGTAAATGTTTTTAGAGTAATCATTGTCACTGAAAATAGACTTCCTCTTTCCCCTCTCATGCTGGAAAATCTTAGGTAATTATGAATAAAGCATTCTTTGCTTTCCCCTCCTCCTTTAGTGGATGCTTTGTCGCTCACTGTGAGGACTGTGGCCACTCATTCTGTACTTGGCCTTAACATGAGAACCGATACAAACTTTTTAAATGGAATTTTTATCTCTGTAGTGAAAGTCATAAGATTTTCTCTTTTTGCAGGTTAAGGTTGGGTACGTAAGAAAGTGCAAAAGTTTAGGGAAAAGTGTAAGATAAATTACTTGCTAGAAAAAAGGACAGGATATTAAAATACTAGCTGTTTGTAAAAAAAAAAGAAAAAAGATTTTACAAGTAACTCCTAGAGGAGTTCTTCCCTTATATCCACCCCCCCAAAAAAAAAGTTGCATTTTTTTTTTTTTTACAGTTGGATAAGCTCAGTCTAGGACTTATTTTCAGTAGCAAGTAAGACTAAGGCTTATTTTTAGTAACATGTATTAGCTGTGTGTTCTTGGGAAAGTTATTTAACCTCGTTAAGCCTTGTTTTATTTGGCAAGAAGGAAAATAGGTCATAGTTAATAGTAATGGGATCATATATTATGATGGGATAATTTGTGTATGGCCGGGCACATAGTAAGGTCTCAATCATATATTGGCATTTGTTTGTTATCAATTACTATTATTAGTGTTGCTGTCAGATTTTTAATAGTGAATTCAATCAAAAAGTATTTCTTGAGCATCTATTAAATACCAGGGACTCCTTAGGAACTGGGATACACTAATGAACAAAACAGACAAAAATCTCTCTCCTCTTTTAGCTTAGAATCTAGAGTGGGAGACAAACAAACACAAGTAAATAAAAATGTATAGGCTGGCCGAGTGGCTCAATTGGTTAAGAGTGCGAGCTCTGAGCAACAGGGTCACCGGTTCGATTCCCACATGGGCCAGTGAGCTGTGCCTGAGCTGAGCTCCAACAGGTGGCAGGATGGCTCAGCTGGGAGAGCACGTGCTCCTAGCAACAAGGTTGCCAGTTCGACTCCCACATGGGATGGTGGGCTACACCTACCCGCAACTAAGAATGAACACGGCACCTTGAGCTGAGCGGCTCCGAGCTGCTGATGGGCAGCTGGATGGCGGCTGGACTTGGAGCTGAGCTAGCTGCGCCCTCCACAACTAAGACTGAAGGACAACAACTTGGCTGTTCTCCTCCCCAATTCCCCAACACTGTTCCCCTTCTCCAATTCCCCAATAAAAATCTTAAAATAAAATGTATAGTATGTTCAATACAAAGAATTGCTAAGTTAAAAATTTAAAGTAGAAAAAGGAAATTGGGGGCATGTTGTGCTAGTAACTGAAGATGGAATAGTCAAGAAAGACCTCACGAGATGAGTAAAAATGTGAAAAAGGAATATAAACATAACCATAGAGTTACATGGGGGAAGAGCAGTCCAGGGAAAGGAGAAAAGCCTCAAAGCCCTAGAGCAGCGAAAGGTTTTCCAGGGCGAGTCAAAGAGCATCAGAGCATTTTATGCAACTGAATCATATGCCACCAATAAACATTTGCTCATGTACCCAAGTAAGTGATACAGATAATAACTTTGGAAGTTCAAGGAATGGCAAGGTTCTTCTAGATGAAGACAGAGAAGATTTCACAATGGGAAGTGGCAGGTCGTGGCTTGAATCTTGAAGGATAGAAAGAATGTAGATAGTTGGTAAAAGGGTACAAACTTTCATATAAGATGAATAAGGTCTGAAGATCTAATGGATATCATGGTGACTATAATTAGTAACAACAGTGTATTGTATAATTGCAATTTGCCAAGAGAGTGGAATTTAAATGTTTTCACCCCTCCCCCCGCCAATGTGAGGTGATGAATGTGTTAACTTGTTGGGGGAAATTCTTTCACAGTGTGTGTGTGTGTGTGTGTGTGTGTGTATGTGTGTGTGTAATATAAAGTCATTATATTGTACACTTTACATATCTTACATTTTTGTCATTTATACCTCAGTGAAGCTGAAAAGAACACCTTGAATGAAAAACTTCTAAATAAAGTTATTTTTATACATGTCACAATCACATAGCCCTCATACTGTCTGCCATAAAACACACACACACACACATGCATACACACATGTGCACGCACACACACACACATGCACATGCACACGCACACACGAATGACATCCCAGTAGAGAGAAGTGGAGAAAAAACAGCATGAGAGGGAGTGAAATAAAGATGTTGGCTCTGAGGGCAGGCATCCACTAGGCACAGGGTCAGGGGGTGGGGGCAAAGGCGACCTTGTGTCAAGTCGCTGAGCAGAGGCAGAGAAGATGGAAAAGCAGGCGAGGCCAAATCTTATGAAACCATAAGGCCAGGCTAAAGATTATTACATGCTATCCAACCAATATTCAGGAACAATTGAAGCAGGTAAGTAACAAGGTGAATTCAGGTCTTCAATAATATTATTGTTTTGACAAGTTTAGGAGAGTAGGGAGATGGAGGAAGCAGTTGGAGTGATTTAGGAGTGCAATTGAGAACATGGACTTTGATAATAGAGATAAGACTGAAAAAGGAAGATAGATTTGATATCTAATAAGGAAAAATCATAAGGATTTAATCACTAATTGCACATAGGAGATAAAGGAGAGGATTCAGAGCTTCTCTTCAACTTTTAAAATGACCAATTAAGTGATGGCGTTAAAGGAAATAGGGAAGTTAGGATACCCAGAGGTATCCTGGGTCATGCCATTAGCTATTGGCAGAAACTGGCCTCAGGTCTCCATATTGAGAACGCCCCTCCCCCCACTCTCCATGCTCTGTAAGAAACATTAGTGGCTTGCTTGTGTAGAATAGGGTTAGAAGGTTTGCATTTGACCATTAGTACTGTCTTGTAGCTATTCTTCTAATTAATGTGGACATTTTCACCCTCTTGCCTGAAACACATCTAACTTGTTTAGAAAGAGTCAAGCAAGCATAGAAAGACTAGAAGAGGGTCATTGCCTGGGTATACTTAGATTCGCCAACCTACTCATTGTTGATGTTTCCTGATTTAAAGTAAGCCATCTTTCTAGCTCTTCAGTAGTTTGAGATGGAATGGTTTTTCTATCATTGTACATTTTTTTTTCTGTTTATCTCTCAGAAGAAAAATGGCTTTTATCTCAAATTGAAATCACCATCTAGACTTTACAGTTAAGACTTCAAATGTCCCTTTCTTAAAGATCAATCTAGTAAGCTGAAATCCGTGGTCATTGTTCTGACAAGCCTGATCAATGTATCCTTTGAGTCATAGGACTTTAAACAAAAGTAGATTCTAGAAATCATCTAATGCAGCACTCTTCAAACTGTTCTACTGCCCATCTGTTTGTTATTAAATGTCTCCTTATTTTTAATAAAAAGTAGTTATCTAGAAAGTGAGCAGAAGAGCATTCAAAGGAGAAAATGTTTCCTTTTCTATTTACAACAGCACTGTGGTAATTTCTTTATACATTCCTTCTGTCTCTCCATTACACATACCACATTGTGATACAAGTCATGAGAGAAGTGGGTGAAATCAAAACCTTTGTTACATGTGGTGTCTTGTGTCTATTTTAAGGCCCAGAATGGTCTCATAGTCTCTGTGTCCCAAGAGACTGAATTATGGAAGACTATTGACGTGCTCATGGGATTCTGTGGAGAGCTTTGGCAGTTCCTAAATACACAAATAGCAC